AAAAAGTGGTTTCATTAGTGCCATCCAAGTATAACTTATTTTCTTTTTACATTCAAGAATTTTGAGAGCTATCTGTGTTATACTACAGGAACAAAAGTTCGTGTTTACTTGTTTATCTGCCACTCACACGCTCTGAAGTTCTCTTAAACGCTGCTTTCTAGAAGATGAGCTGTATTCTTTGAAATGCTAACCGCACCATTTATTCTTAGCAGGTTGTACTTGGGTGTGCCGCTTGACTTCAGACTGTTACCAAAGACCAGTAATAAGTGAGCTCTCTTTCAAAATAGCCCTGAAGGGCACAAAACAGCACTGCTGCAGAGAAGCCTCAAGTCAAGGTGTCCAGAATGTAGGATAGTGATTCTGAGAAAGACTTCAGGTTTTCCTTAGCAGTCATCCTCACCTGGTCAAACATGAGAGGCTAGAGATAAGGCAAGAACGTGTCAGCAGCTCCACTAGGTAAAACTAACAGTTCACGTAGTCTAGAATCCTACATCCAATGCTTTCCTGACAACAGCAGATGACCAAGTAGGAAAGAATGCATGAAGGATTAAAGAACATTGTTGCACTGGCCCAGAAAGCTCCTTCAGCCTTCTGAGAAGCTGCAGCTGGAAGACCTCCAAAGATTTAGGCTTCTTTTGTTTGATAGCCATCAAAAAATTACTCTTTCACAGAGAAAGTAGGTAAACTTTTAGCAGTCACAGTACTTGCTGTTAGCAAGAAGCTCCATAGTTCTCCACATGGAGAATTCTTTCTTCCATGCTTTTATCCTGCCTCTCAGTTTTCATCCTTCCTTCCATTTCTGTCCTTCTGGAGGAAAAGGCAGCAAATACTCTCCATACTAATGATTTTACAGATCTTCGTCACAGACCTCCTCCATCTCTTCTTTCAGGCTGATAAATACTTCTCTATTATATAGTTTGTTCTTTTCTAGAAGTTGCCTCTCTGACCTGCTATTAGTCAGAAAGCGAAGAAGCTGTAGAAAGATATGAGTCAACTGCATGGAAGAGGTAAAGAGGAAATAAACTGGGACCCCACAATCCAGGTGGTTTCTGGAGTGTGCTGAAGACAATTTCTTGACATAGGTGATTGCTGAGACAACTAGGGGAGATACTCTGCTGGGTTTGTCATTCACAAACAAGGAAGAACTGGTCTGGTGCACGTAGGCCAACAGTAGATTCAATTGCAGGAACCACTAGACTGCTGAACTTAAAATCATGCCAGAACTCAGCAGAAGGAAGAACATTACAGCCCATGCTTTCCAGAGAGCAGTTTTCACTTTGTTCAGGCTGTACACGGCAGCATCCAGAGGGAGACTGCCCTGGAGAGAAGAGGGACCCAGGAGTGCTAATTCTTCTTCGAGAGCCACCTTGAAACATGGAAACAGTCCGCTTCAATACATACAGTGTAGAACCAGGGTGGAGGAAAGCCAGCATGACTGAACATGGACCTTCTGACAGAGCTCCAAAGTAAAAGGAATTGCACAGGAATAAACAAAAACATAGGGACATTGCTCAGTTCAAAACATATCAAAGCTTGATGTCCCACATTGACATTTTCCTCAATTTCTGTATTTATTTCCAGCATTCTTTGCTTTCTTCAACTTCCACTGAATTGATATTTTCACAAAACTACTATAATCCTGGAAAATTGTGCTTGAATAGTAAGCTCTATCTTTTTATCAAGTTATGAACATTTTTATACTTATTTATCACTTAGTAGTTAGCCACAGTGAGTTTCATCTGCCATTTTTATATATCAGTTACTCATGTCATCATTAAACTGTCATCTCAGTAGTCACTCTTCATTTTCAATATATCATGAACTCTGTTTCACAGAACAGTCCCTGGAACACATCCTTGTGGGTTTACCTTTTATTCTTCAAAAGATTATTGCCTGCATGAGGACTTTCTGTCGTATCCCCAAATGGTTCTGTTTCCATTAAGTTTTTGGTAAGAACCTATTTGTGTTTGGATATCTGAAATAATTCAAATATTTCAATCAGATCATCTTTGTCATGTACTTGCTTACTCAAGGAGCTCCATGGGTTTCTAAAATATAACCTCCCATTACAGATATCTTAAGTGTCACAGCACAGCTAGTTTATATATATATATTTATATATATATACACACACACACACATGTACACACACACACAAATTTTACTTGAAATCAAGTTGTATTAATCTCTCAAGTTAAGGAAAGCCTTCTAATACTATTCTTTATATTGTCGTTTAGCCATGCTTTTTTCTTGTTTGTTTTTTTTTTTGTTTTTGTTTTTTTTTTTTTTAAAGCTGTACATTTTAATTGAGCAGTTTGCACCTGTGTCCAAGATAGTATCCTTAAATAATGTCCACATCATCTCAACAGATTTGATTCTAACAAGACTCTTTCCAAATGTTAGCCCTTTTGTTGCAAGATATTTTATTTATTCTACTTGGTTTCTCATACAATAGCGTTTCCTGTCCCTTCAACCTTCTGATACTTGTTATTGCAACCCTTTCACAGATGTAAATATTTCAGAATTTTAGTATTAAAATCATGTTACATGTAATACAAAATGGATTCCCAGAAGATTTGTTTGAAATATTTCATGGAAAATGAAATATTTGGAAAAACTTGAACTCCCTCCTCTGCAACTTAATGGGCAAGCTTTATGCAGCTTAGAATAGAATGCAGAAATTAACGTGTCCACTAGTTAAGAACACACTTCAGTGGCCAATTTTCTTTTCACAAACAGTCACAGTTACATCCAAACAACTGTAAAAGTCGCAAACTGTTATAGCCAATAAACAAACTACTAGTCAAGAATTTATTGTGCCACTAAAACTGAAAAAAAAAATATTGCTGGATACGATCACTTAAAGGCTTCTGCAAACTGTAGTTCAACATTCAGTATTCACTTACAGTCTTTTGCTTCAGAGCTAAAACTACACTGTGGTCACAGCATGTTTCTTCCTGACTGGCTAGGATGAGAAGAGCCACTCTGATATCTTAATTTCATTCACATCCAATAAAAGAAGCCTTAAAGTGTGGTAAGAACAAGTATCAACGATTTATTTGGAACACATTTTACAGAAGGGACTCATAATACACTATAATTTCTACCCAAGCACACAGAGTGTTCTTTTCCTACTGCCATCCCCCCACCCCACAACAGTGTGCACTTTTGCAATTTCAATGGAACATGGTTTTTATTACCTCAATAAAATCCTCTGAAGGAGCCATGGAATCTACCTGTTCTGTGTTTAACTGGCATAAATTTAAAGGTAAACACCAGAAAAGAAGGAAGAGTCTGAAACATGGCTGAAGAGACATATTCTTATCTCCCTGTCTCTAGTTATGTAGACACTCAAGACTGAGAATGTTTTTACAAGTTAGTGAAAGACAATTTCATCACTGGTGAAATTATGAGTGCTAATTTCCCAGAGACAGAAAGACACCTGGATCTTGTTTCGTCTACGGAACTCCTACTTAGTCAAGTAGGAATAAACACATTTGGCTTAGTATGATTTTCATTTAATTTCTACCAACAAAATAGCAGCATTGAAACAACAGCCTTCTTTAACCACAAATAAAGGGCAGCATCAATATATCTGTAAATTATTCATGTTTTATTTTTCACAAGTCAGATAGCATGATAGACTGCCCCATGTCCAGAAGACACATCAGATCCTTCTAAACTGTATGACAGTACCAGAGTATAGATAACATATGTTTAACATCAAGAACCTACCTGTTGCTTCTGCTAGCTACACAGAAAGACTATAGGACCAGTTTCATATACCTAATGCTTTCAAATGCCAGGCAGTTGCCATTAGCACCAAAATCAGATTAAAAAAAAAAACATCATGCATCAAATCATGCACATGAACTGCGTTTTTTTCATGAAGCCTTTCTAATACTGTCATTTGGTGAAAGAAATTTTTAACAAATGCGAGTTGTGGCATGCCTGGATTACCAGTATGCTTTCATTCTTTCTATTTACATGCACGTTAAAGAAAGCTGTTCTCTCTTCTTCTACTCAAGAACAAAATTAACACATTACTTTATTTTTCTACAAATCTTTCTGTACCGTGTCCATCAGCTATCCACCTTTTCTATCCCTCTCCCTTCCCCCCTTGACTCATTTTGTAAAAAGAGGGGAGACACAACTGTGAGAGAAGGTCTCTGCTGAAATGACAATTTTCGGTATTATTTTCAGTCTTCCTAGGCCTCAAATTCCACCTGTTATTTCATAAGACTACATAAAATTTGTAAGACTCACAAGAGGTCTTTTGTTGGACCTCTGAACATGTGAATTTGGATACAAACTTTAGAAATTTTCCTAATACAGAATATGCCTGACTTAAAGTCATACAGGAATATACGCTGCCAGAATTGAATCCTTAAATAAAATTAGTTATGCAAAAAACAAAAGGGAACGAAGGCTATCATCTGGAATACAGTTTGATTCATTAAGAAGTTGTGTGCTGTCGGACACAGGTAATCTTACCTCTTGTCATTCTTAGTAAGAAGTAAAAAGAGGTGCTAAGAAATACTATGCCAGTGTGAGGTGTTACCAACACCTGTTGGCTTGCCTTTTTTTTTTTTTTGCCTTTTTTTAAAAAGCTTTGCTGCTTTTTAGAGTTTATATATAATAAAATATAATTTAAATGCCTTCAATATTGTTTCATATTTGCTGCTCACAGTGCTAATTCAAGGACAAATGCTTACACCAGCAATGTTAAAGAATACTGGGAAGAATTAAAAAGTGTATTACTTCATTAAATATGGCTTACCACCATCATTTACAAAGATACTGATCTGAATTTCATATGTGCCTAAAATTAATTACTTCGAAGAAGTTCTTTGGAGGAAATGTCCACATAATCCCCCATATATAACTGAAAGAATGGAATTCTTAGTTATTAATTTAGAAACATGTCACAAGTGCACTATTATAATAAACGAACAAAACCCGAGACTTGAATCAAAACTACCAACTTAGAAAACTCTTACCTGGAAGACTTGACTTGTTTGATAGTATCACTTCAGCACACTCTTTCTCATCACAAGGATCCTCTTCGTCAGACAGTACTAAGAAAGCCTCCTTTGGCAGATTTTCATTGCTTTCTTGCTTTGATGGTGAACCCAAACAGTTGTCCATTTTCTCATCTAAATCTGGGGCAGTGTCATCTACTGGAAGCAGAGAACTTTTAGAAAAACAGCTCAGCTCATCTTCAGCAGGGGCTAATTTTTCCAAAATTGGAATAATTTCATCAGTTTCCATAGAGTCAGAATTCTCCAGGATACCTCCACTTGATTGATCTATTGCCTTCTTAGCTGTGGTTTCTGAAAGACTTCCAGTGCTGTCTCTATCATCCTTTGGTTCTTGGTCAGCTTCCATACTGCTAGAGATGGCTGCTTCTCCAACAGCATCTTCAATACTTACTTCTTCATCCCTCTTTTCCTCTTCAACAGATGAATGAGAATTACCAATTATGTCATTTATCTGTCCTGTCTCTTCTGAAGAGTCACTATTATCACAGCTTGGTTTGTTTTCACCTTCTGATGGAGTGTTACTCTCTCTTTGGTCCAAACGATCTTTTTTACTATTTTCTTCGTGGAATTTATTGCTACCAAGCACTCCATTTTCAGCCTCACGAGCTAGTGCAGTATCAGTTTTCTGCTCAGGCGTAACATTTGCTGGAGACAGTGTTCGTGGTTTAGGTTCTAGGCCACTCACTACACTCTCTGCACTACTTTCAGGACTTTTGACTTCCCTAATTTCGTTGGAAGTTGTTCTTCCTTCTTCAGAGTTAAGACAAAAATCCACTAGGCCATTAACTTCCTTCTTGTCCTCCAAACAGTCTGTATTGCTTAGAGAGGAATTTATATCAGAATCTCCATTCTCATGCTTTCCATTTAACAGTTTAACTTCAGCTGTCTTCAGCAAGTCCTCTTTAGCCTTATAGACAGCCTCAAGTTGTTGTCGATCACTTACTCTCATTGTTTTTCGTGCTTTGAAGACCTTTTTTTGAGGTTCATCTGTGCCATCCATCTTGACCCTTAAAAAACAGAAGATCAGTAAGAATGGTGATGGTAATTTATTAACTTCATATTACAGGTATTTCAAAGAAATACTGTAGCTGCAAGTTGCATTTAGCACATCGTTTAGCAGATTGGTTTAACTGTATCTATAGAAACCAAAACACTTCTGGTTTTTTGCCCTCGTAAGAAGTGAATGAAAGCTTCCATGCGTGTTGCACAAATATGTGTATGTAAAGATCACTGAGACCACACTATTACTTTAATAACATTATGCAGTAATACCATTACTATGTACTTTAAACCAATCAACTCACAGTATTATTACAGCAGAGCCACATATACCCTTGTACACCTTCACAGGACAAGGAAGTTTCAGACACTCACACCAAAAATATCAGTCATAAATTGAAACACAGTTTTTGTCATCGAATCACTGCATTCATAAACAGGAAAGCAAGAGATATTAGTTACATAATTAGGTTATTGCTCCGATACCTGATTCATTTTAAATATACTTATCTTCAATGAGCTATGAGAATCAAAGGCTTATGGGTTTGAGGCAGGTTAAGGTTTGTCAGCTGAGATAGGTATCAACAACTATTCCAGTTCAGGCTAACATATTGTACATGTAACGCTTAAGCATTACATGATTAAGCTACTTTAAAGCCATTCCTAACTTTGGGCAGTAACTTAGGGGAGTGGCCTGGTGGCACAGTACTGGCTCAACATGGCAGCTGATCTAGAGGCAACACCTTAAATCTACTACCAAAAGTTCATCAACATTTCAAGTATTTTGCCCACACAGTAAACCTTTGGCACAGGAGTTCCTTGACGTCTGAGCCATGCTCTGTAGCAATGACGACACATCTACCACATCCACGTGAGAGAAGATGTCTAATGCATTTTTAGAAGCCACAGCCCTCATTATCATTGATACCAACTCAACCTGTTCTTCCTAAAGAAGATGGTAGCAACAAGTTTACTGACCATGTCCTAAAGGATTTAAGAAAATAAGTTCTTGTACTTCAAAGCAGACTGACAGAGAGGTGTATCCAGGGAAGCGGACACCGATACACGGTCTCCCCTAGAATTCTGAGCAACTTCTCAGAATGACTGAGAAAAGAAAACTGCAGGATATGATTGTCCTATATAGCCACACGGTTACTTAAAGGAATCAAAGAATCATAGAAATGGTGGCCCAAAGAAACTTTTGGAGATCATCTAACTCAACGTCCCACTCAGAGCAGGACTACTGCCATGGTTTTGTGTGTAAATAAAAAGTCATAAAATTCACACAACAGAGACTCCTCAGCCTTTAACTAACCTGTTCCTTTGATGCACTAATACCTCTTGGGGAATTTTTTCCAGCCTGAAACTCCTACACTCCAACTCATGGCCACTGTACCATCCCATACCACTACAGTTGGCTCCACCTCCTTTGTAATCAAGCCTGCCTACAAGTACTAAATAGCGGCAAGACCGCCCTTTATAGCCTTCTCTTCAGCAGATTAAAGTCATTGAGCTCCTTCAGTCTCTTCGTAGGTGCTTTAGGCTCCTATCATTTTGGTAGTCCTCTACTGGATCCTTCCTAGTTTACTGTGAACAGCTTGTTTATGAAGGAAATCTAGCATTTCTGCATTTCCCAACTAGAATATTTGAAGATACAAAAGGAATATATATTCTGTGGTACAATATAAATTCAACTCAGACAAACTCAAGACCTTACAACCATGACATACTGTATTATGTAAACATAAGGCTTCTACCATCCTTAGGTACCATAATTTATCAAAGATACAGGTAAAATGGAAAGAGATGTGATAAAGATTTTTTTTGTCCTTTTCCATTTCTTATTAATACTGAATTCCTTTATACTTTGTTTCGATTCTTTTCTGCTTGACATTGTAGAATCTTCATATTTTAGTAACTGATGGAACTTAAGTAACAGATGCGTCCACACCTTGCAAACAGATGAAAAAGACCTTCAAAAAAGATTTTATCAGCTCGATTTACAGACTCACCATAATACCATTAAGAGAGTCTGAACAAGTTTCTGAACACAATTGTCTACTACTGTGCTGCCACTAGTGGAAGCAAAATGCAACACACCTACAGAAACACTGATTTGGAAAATCAGTTTACCTGTAAGTAAGAAAACATTCTCATCCCATAACCATTTCTAGTCAGATGAAACACAAACTCAAGATCAGTTGTTAATAATCCTTCCTAACCAGTCTACATAGTAAATACAGTATCTTTATATTCCTCTAGAAGAGAATACATGAGACAGTAATTTAACACAGTCCTGAAATTACAAGAAGCATAGAAAAACCTCTAAATATTTTAGAAGCATGTGTGCAGTCTCTGAAAGCATACACACTCCTTCTTCCCAAAAGCTTCAGCAGAAAGCTTTTTTAATGTCATTATAAAAGGTTGTATCAGGCTGTCACATAGAGCACTGATAGTTGTACTCACGGTTCCATGAGCGTAATCCCCTACAACATGCATGTTGTTTCAGAAGTATGTCTTGCAGAGTCGATTTTGAAAGGAAATAAAAAGTCAGGCTTGGCTAACCTTGAACAATTCTTAAGGCTCATGATAGGCAGCAGCTAAAGCCTTCTGTTCATCTAGTACAAGGATATTTGGCCTTTGTATCAAAATTAAATGAGTACACGTAGCTTGATTCCCCTGACTACAATGCTTTACCTCATAAGCATTACGCTGAATTTGAAAGTCTTTAAAAGTTTGTGAATTTTGTAATATCTGATCTTACTGTAACCAAATGATATTTTAATTATCAATTACAAAATTTCACACAATTTAAAATCAGATTTGTAAATGCATCACTTGTATAATCATGAAATGCAACTTAAAGCAAAGTAGTATTTGTATGCTCTAGTTTCCTTAAATATCTAAACGGCCTTTCATTCATATTTTTAACATAGCATGAAATATGGTAAATAAAAACTAAAATGAAAGACACTTCCTTTTTCAGTTTACCAAGAATAACAACCTTAAAAATCAAACATCAGAATACCTTTTTTATATTAATGCGCATCTTTACTTTTTTTCTTATAAAAATACTGAAGGAATAAGCTTGAGTTACTAATGTATTTCAAAAAAGGTGTTTAGTTTATATCTAACAATATTATCGAAAATATAGCTAAAAGACAAAGCCCTAATACAGTTCTACAGTGAAACCAATACAAAGGAGCCTCACAAAATTCCATTGTTAGATGGCTATTTGAGTTAATTGATGCACATTTTCATCTCAATCCCCCAATCTTTCACGACCAAACAACACCAAGTAAAAGCTACAAAACTATAAACATAGATGAGATTTAAGGATGAAAACTAAATGCTGGTTAAGTATCACATATCACAGCAGACCACACTTAAAGCATTTCCAGCCATACCCACAAGGGAGCACACTGCAGCCAAGTAACAGATCTCATGTGTGAGCTGTGTAAAATAAGAAACAAATTAATCAGTAACCAGTTCAGACAGGTTTGGTTGTATGGGTGCAAGCCAATGAGCAATCATCTTATAAATATCTGCCTTCCAGTCCGCCAAAGGGGTAGAGGCTGCCTTTCAGAGAGGAGAGCAGGTTATGTGAATTCAGTCTTAACACTTTATAAACTCTTAGTGTTTTAAAAAGGAATGTATTTAGATAGTCTCCTTTTATACTCAACAATTTAACACAGAGTTTAGCTACATTTGCTATACACTTCCATAATATGATGCTTAAGTAGTTTAAATTTTTCATCATCACATTTCTTTGTTGTGACATGGTCATGAGCGGCTCAGGCGCCAAGCCAGTGAAGTGGCACCTATTATTTCAAGGAAAGGCATTTGTACAAAGCAGTACAAAATGACTCCTGCATGTAGAGCTAAGTATGTAAGGGTTAAATTCTGCAAATAAGGTGGTTTTTTTTTCTTTTTTATTTCTTTTTTTTAGTAAAGTCCAACAAAACAATAATCAATTTTGAAACATCAACACATGAATACTGTATGTATTTGTTTAGGTATCATTTATCAAAATTCTTCATTTTAAGCTTTAAAGTCATACATACTTCAGCATGACAGACAAACACACCATCATGCACCTCCCTCCAATTACAAATCTGCAAATATTTCTCATTACCAAATATGTGATGGATGGCAAAACCAAAATTTACCAATGTAGCTAAGAATACACGAAGGACTTCTCTTGCAGCCAATTAGAAAATTTTCCCACCTCTTCCCCTTATACATATATATATTTATTATTACCATGCAAAGAGATTGCAGCTCTGAAGCAACAAAGGAAGGTATTAGTTTAGCTGCTATGGATTAGCCTATAATCGTGAGCTCGTATGAGCACAGCCCACGAGCTGCTCAAAAAGTGAGCCAATCAGCAAGCGGCTGCTTGAATCCTGCCTGGTAACAGGCTGTAGACAAAGAGAAGGTCATGGAAACACACTGGGGGAAAAAAAAATTGGAATCTCTGCAACAGTGCACAATGGGTTTTGCATAATATAATCAGTCTAGAACAGCGTTTGCACAGGCTTCCTGGAATGTATACAGCGCTAGCCAAAAGCACCACAACCATAAAACACTTGCAAAAGCACAAGAACTACACAGAGGAAGTAAAAGCCTTTGATCAGGAAAACCAGTGCTCAAATATGCAAGTCTACTTAAAATGTGGCACAGCTGAATCAAGGGAATGGAGACTGCTAATAGTCAGGAGCACAATGTTCTAGATGGAGAGTCCCAGAGAATGCATGTAATGTACAGAACCTACCTCTTAAATGGCGGCTCATAATAAGCAGTTTTCAAATGAAACCATCTATAGCCATTTTGATACACGTCGTCAGAAATTTAAAAACTATTTTCAAAGAAAAACAAGGAAGTTTGTGATCTGTTCTTCTAGAACACGTGCTGAAATACGCACAGGAGCGTGTTTTCATGCCCCTAACGGACTGAACGGAAAATACACACCACCAGTAGACGAACATCCATATACTACTATGTTTTA